AGTCCCACTGAATACCAGTGACCCTTTCAATTTTGGCCTTGTGTGCTGCTTGGTTACAGCTGGGGTGCAATGGAGCGAGGCATATCCTTATAGGTTATAAATCTGTTCACTTATTTTGTCTTTTTTAAAACAAACCTAACCTAAGCTCTTGCTTTAAACTCAGCCACACCAAATGATTCCCTTCAGAATTGCCTTCATTTTGCTATTAACTTGTATCATGGTCTATGTTTGGATGCCAACAGGCTCCAACTGATCTGATAGCCAAAGTGAAGTCAGCAACCTCCTAAAACCTTACACCTTGCTAAATATGCATTATTCCCTTTATCTTCCCTGTACTTCAGGAAGTATGTAGTCTCCTACTGATGTTATCTTAACAGTTGCCTGGGTTGTGTGAAGAACCTGGCAGATTTAAATATCACTAGGCATCTCATAAACCTGTTTTGAGAAACCAAATTAGTAAGATGACTTTCCTTGACTGTTAAGCAGGAAATTGTCCTGCCTTGCTCTCCCCCTGAGCTAGATGCTTTGACGTTGCTTTCAGTAAAATGAGCATGCAGTTACTGTTGTGGCTGCCTGACACATGGCAAGACTGTGACTGGGCTTTAATGTACAGATGATGTTCATTGGACAAAATATTATTTTCTAACAAAAGCTGCATTATGTTTTAGCCAACATATCTTCTTTATGACTGCCCGTTCTGTTCTTTGTTAACAGTTTTCCATCCATTTGTCTGAGTTGCTGAGGTTGCTTGTCTGTAGTTTCCTCTCTTTTCTGCCTTCCTGGCAGCTCCTGGTCAAAGCACTCCACAGTGAACAAGGGCACTTCTTGATCACCATGTTGATCATCTGCTGAGTAGTTTCTTTGGCTTGGTCTGGCGTTCAATGGCAAACAACACAAAGAAAAGTCTCCCTTTTCTGCTGGTGGTGCAAGTGTCCTGTGACAGCTGTGTGCTCTCTTTCTGGCACTCCTGGGAAGGTGCCACAGAAGGGAAGGGGACGTTGTTTCACAGCCTGCTCCCATGTGTCTGCTTTTGCCATGGAGCCGCCTGTTCTACAGTCATCTGTGATAGAAATCACTATCTTTGTTTCCACTGTGATGCTGAAACTCCATCCATGTGATGATCAAAGGGCATAATTTGACATTGCAGGTTTTGCTGAGTTTTCAGTTCAGAAAAAAATTTAATACTCTAGCCATTTTAATGGTATTTAACATAAGCAGAGCCATTTAACAGCTGTTTTATAAAACACCCTTTCTGCTTCAGTACAGATAAATTTCT